GTTATGGATTTTAATAGCATCTATGTAGCTTCCCCTCAATGGCCTCTTGTGACGGAGTGAGCTGCACTATCGTTCGTTTGGAAAGTGTGATTCTTGCTGTGTTTACCACACTTGTGAACTTTATTTAAACTCCTTTGTCGCCTGTGTTGGTTTTTTTCTTATTTTAATAAGGGTGACTGAGGTTGCAGAGAAATTAATGTGTGCTGAGTCTGCATAGCAACTTAAGTAGGGTTGCCACAATACACTGTCCCCGCCTCCCTGAGACGACTACATAAAGTCAGGGTTCAAGCATTTTGTTGCCTTACTGGCTATTGTCAAACTCATTATAGTGATGCTGTCAAACCGCTTAGTTACTAATAATAGAAGTATTGCAGGAAATAATTTTACTAAGAGACAAACAGTTAAGTGAGAAGCAGCATAATAAAAATGACTTACAGGTGATTTGACAAACACGTACCACAATTTTTCAGATGGAATAATCAAGCTTAATCCTTTAGAGTTGTCTTAAAACTGATACCAGTAAACCTGGTCCATCTAACAATTTTAATAGCATTAAATAGAATATCCTCAAGGAATATTAAACACTCCTATTTAATTTAGCTATAATGCTGTGCTTTGGAGCGATGCATCTCTTCGGGCCGGTGAACTGATAATTGGTCCATTGAGTCTAGCTATTGTGGCAACCCTATGCACATAACAACAACTAAATTGAGTTTGTTTTAGTTCGGAGTATGGATATGATGCTTAGGCACTGACTCATGTATCGACTCTAACTCCCTCTCCCATCTTTCAACAGGATACCTGCTCACTATGTCTATCCACAGGCTTTTGTGCAGCCTGGAGTGGTAATTCCCCACGTGCAGCCCGCAGCAGCCGCTGCTTCTACAGCGCCCTACATCGATTACACCGGAGCCGCGTATGCCCAGTACTCAGCCGCTGCGGCCGCCTATGAGCAGTACCCGTATGCTGCCTCGCCGGCTGCTGCTGCCGGGTATGTGGCAGCGGGGGGCTACGGCTACGCGGTGCAGCAGCCCATCACCGCAGCAGCGCCTGGGACAGCTGCTGCGGCCGCTGCTGCTTTTGGCCAGTACCAGCCCCAACAGCTGCAGACAGACCGTATGCAATAGCAGGTGGACTCCAGAAGGAAGCTCTTTCTTTCTCTTCCTCTTTTCAGCCTTCCAGTATAAGTAGTTAATCAGAGACAATTGGTATTAAGCAGGGAGCTTTAAGGAAAGCATGCTATTGCGAAACTAAAGATTTTTATTCCACTGTCTTCATACAGTATTGCATCCAAACCGTGTTGCTAGAGGGGAGGGGTAGTGTGGCATGTGTAGTTTCAAGTATCGAGCCAGAAGAAATGGGAAAAACAATACTGTACTGTCATGAAAGAGTGGCAGGAGTAGCAATGGGACTTAATATTTTCAAACAAAAAAAGAACCAACCAAGAACCAAAAAAAGCAAAGGTGTATTTTTTACAGTATCAGGGAAGCAAAACTGCCTTTTATAAGTAAGAAAATGGTATTTGAAAACTTTGAACCAGGGAAAAAACAGAGTCAGCAATATGTAATCTTTATCCATTTTAAGAGGAAACAAGCTTAAAGCACTGATTGTCCTTTCTAGCTTTCAGAAGTTGTCTTCGTGAGATAGTACGTTCTCTCTGTCTCACTAATGGGCATCGAACAACCCAAGGAAGATGGCCGGCTAGTAAGATGGCGGACAGGCACCAAAGTTATTTTCTACTCTGTCCTCTGGATGAGTGGAACTATGGAGCAAGTGATGTGGAAGTAAGGGGTGCAACAGCTGTAGAGACAATCAATAACACAGACAGTTCTGGACAGAACACATCACTCGTGCTCATGTGATGAGCTTGTCACATCCTAATCCCTCCTCCCATCCCGTTTCACTTTTGGGAAACTTTAACTGCTGGTGTCAGCTATTCTGATTCTAAAATAGGATCAGCCCTTTACTACAACAGCCTTCTCTTTCTATTTATTGCATCTATTCGTAACATGTGAATAAAGGCAGGAAGAATCTTAATGAATTAAAACCTTTTAAGAACTGTTTTAAGGGAATTCTAGTTTCTGAAACCATTTGTACAATTTTATTATCTTTTTCAGGATTATATTTAAAATATTTATTAGCAAACATACAGTACAAACAGCGACTTTTGTTACCAAGACTGCAGTTCTTGAAGGGTTAATGGTATGTGATTTATACTGTGCCTTAATTGTTATGCTATTTAAAAAGAAATATTTATTTTGAAAGTTTTACTATGCTGCACTCTAAAGAAAGCGACTTTAGATGTGACACTGTAAAATTATGTATTCATCTCATGGCATAAATTATTTAGTAGGCTTAGATGTAGCATATTAAATATTAACCTAATTAACTAAGGATGTTGACTTGGATTTATTTAAATTCAGTATGTGCACTGTATGAGGGTACTCTTAAATTAACACTTTTTTAGGTTTTTACATAAAAAAATTCTAGTTCATTCTTTTTCCCTTTACTAATTTTTTCATGTAGACCTCTCAAACACATTAGTGCTGTTTTCTTACTCATCTGTATGTAGACTGACTATTTTCCCCTTTGCTAGAAAATGCTGCTTTACATTGTCCTGTGAAACTACAATACTTGCAATTTTTATTCTTGACCGAAATGGAATTTAATATTTTACACTGTATTGGATTTTTTTATACTTGAACAATTTCATACAAGGGAAGACAGGATAGCATTTTTATGGACTTTATCCAATATCACTGGATTTATTTTAAGTATTCGGAATACTAGCCAGTGTTATAATGTAGACATGACTCTCCTGTGCATATTATTTATTCAGTATGTATATTGCTTTACAACATTTCAGATCTCTTGATCTATTCACTAGTATTAAAACAATAAAAAAATGTTGTCGCATCCGTCTAGTGATGTTCTTGCTTGAGTTGCCTTAGATCTTGTTTAGTTAAAACTAAGGGGGTGGCAACCTTTTATGTAATTTTCCTGGTCTGTGGGCTGAATAGCAGCATAGACACTGACTTGAAATACATAGACTGATATGAACTATATTAAATGGAGGAAATCCCATAGAGAAGATCTATTCTGAGAGTTACCATAAAACAATTCAGAGTGGAAGGGACTTCAGGAGGTCCCAGGTTGCTTATCGCTTTGTCCAGTCAGGTCTTTAAAATCCTCCGTGTGGAGACTGCACAACCACTCTTGGTAATCTGTGCCACTACTTATTATCCCCATAGTGTCATTTCTTTTTTTTTAACAATCTGTCTAGCCAAGCTTCTCCTGTTCTTTTATAACCTTCATCTCTCATTCTTTGGCAGAGAGCCCAGCCATATCTTCTTGGTAACCTCCTCTTAGGAACTGGAAAGTTGCTGTTCTCTTCTGCAGGCTGAACAAACCGCAATGCCTCAGCCTGTCCCCACAAACCTCATTCTGCAACCTCCAGCCATCCTGTTGGCCCTCCAATGGAGTCATTCAAGTTTATCAATTTTCATGTACTTCATGTACTTTCATGTACTACATGTACTTTTATGTACTGGGGGACTCAACACTGGACCCATATGCCAGCTGTGGTCTAATGAGTACTGACTAAAAGGGAATAATCACTTCCCTTGATCTGCCATCTGTGCTCCTGTTGATACAGTCTGATGTACTTTCATTGCTTCCAGAGTTCACCACTGACTCCTGGTCATTGCTAAAGATATCAGATAGGACAGACCCCCAAGGAACTCCACTGTAACCAGCCTCCAGAGAGAGCATGAGCCCTTTTGGCCAATGATCTGCTCAGTTTTTTGCCTATCTAGACAGGGCCATCTGAAGTTGGATACAAGGATTCTATGGGAGACTCCATGGAAAGCCTTGCTAAATTGGATGTAGACAACATTCTCCGTTTTCTTTTCATCAATGGATGAAGTCATCACAGGAGGCAATTAGGTTTGCCCTTGTAAATCCATGCTGGCTATTTCAAATCACTACCACCTCCTTCATGTGCCCAAAAATTATTCCAACATTGCTTACTTCATGACTGCTCTGTAGCTCCTTAGATTGTCCTTCTTCCCCTTTCTGAAGCTGGATGCATTATCTGCCCTTCTTCACTCATGGAAGACCTCTCCAGTACCCCTTCAGAGACAATTGTGATCAGCCTCACAATGACAACAACTAGCTCGCTTAGTACCCTTAGGTGCAGCCTGTCTGGTTCCATGCCCTTAATGCATTGATATTCCTCAGGAAGTCCCTGAATCAGCCCCTTTCCATACCTGGCAGTTTCTTTGTCCTTGAACCCTCCCTATAAGTAAGTACAAAGTGTTGCTAATAAAATCCTAAAGGCCAGGGCACCTTTTTGTATGTAGTACTTGAACTGGGAAGCACTGAAATGGCTGCTCAGATCCAGTTGATGGTGAATTTGTAATATTTAGGAATACTCAATATTGCAATGTCAGTGCAAACCTCTGATAGAATCATAGAATAGTTAGGGTTGGAAAGGACCTTAAGATCATCAAGTTCCAACCCCCCTGCCATGGGCAGGAGGGACACCTCACACTAAACCATATCACCCAAGACTTCGTCCAACCTGGTCTTGGAACACTGCCAGGGATGGAGCATTCACAACCTCCCTGGGCAATCTATTCCAGTGCCTCACCACCCTAACAGGAAAGAATTTCCTCCTTATATCCAATCTAAACTTCCCCTGTTTAAGTTTTAACCCGTTACCCCTTGCCCTATCCCTACAGTCCCTAATGAAGAGTCCCTCCCCAGCATCCCTATAGGCCCCCTTCAAATACTGGAAGGCCGCTATGAGGTCTCCATGCAGCCTTCTCTTCTCGAGGCTGAACAGCCCCAACTTTCTCAGCCTGTCTTCATATGGGAGGTGCTCCAGTCCCCTGATCATTCTCATGGCCCTCCTCTGGACTTGTTCCAACAGTTCCATGTCCTTTTTATGTTGACACCAGAACTGCACACAATACTCCACACTAATGACCATACACTAATGACCATAAGCAGTTGCTACCTGATGCCTGAAAGAAGCCTGTGTGAAATGCATGACAGTTTTGGCCAGTTTTTTTGCAGAACTGGGGGAATATTCATATAATCTTCATACTGAAATTCATTACTGCAGCTGTCTCTGTATAGAGACTTCAGCAGAAGCACAAGCTTGATTGCAGAATTCGAGCCGTCCTTTCATTCACAAAAGTGGTCTTCTTCTTCTGAAAAAGAGGGCAGAAGTGAAATAGAAGTGATAGAAAAGACTTGGGGTCAGACTTCATTTCACCATGGAGGATTATGAGACTCGGCTGTCCAGAACTCGTACACTCGCAAACACCCTGGGCTGATGCTGTCATGTTCTGTTCTCAACAAGTGCTTAGAGTCTGCCTGCTGAGAGGCATTGCCAAACTGCCTTTTGCAATCTGACCTTAAGATCTGCAGCGTTGCAGAGCACAATGTAGTGTTCTTTCTGCTAAGCATATAAACACCCAGCAGGGAGGTGAGTAGGAAACACTTAATAAATGCCATTTTCTGCTCTGTTCTCCTATTTTCCTGCCCTGGTCTTCCCCAGAGAGGGTCTGCATACAAGACAGGATATCAAGTAGGAATTAAACCCAAAGGTCCCTCTGAATGGAAGACAGAGGATACTGATGGCTCAGAAAACCATGTGGCACAGTGACCTATTATTTGATACAGAATGGAAAAAGCATCTTTGCCCTACTTATATACAGCCCTAATAGTGTCCTTGGGCCTTCTCCTTCCTCCATCTGGCAGTGACAGACACCCCAGGGTGGGGTGTGAAAGGGAATGCTTTCTGCTCTGGAGAGGGACTGTGTTGTGGTAAGCCACACCAGGAAGAGAACCAAATAAAATAACTGAGAAATAGCAGCTCTTAATTGTGAAATAGGTGAATACTCAGCAAAAAGTGTTAGCATTTTACTTCAGAGATAGCATGTATGTAAGCAGTAAGAAATTGCACATGATACAATTTCCAGTTGTGTTTCCAAAACCTTCAAAAAAGATTTCACACTGAAAAACTACCACTCCTGAGTACCTTCCAAGGGGAGGAGAGGGAGAAGTTGAAACTTGGAAGTACTTCAAAGGAGTATGTAGATTAAAAAAGGTGTAATACCTTGAAAGGTTATACTGATGACCTGGCTGCTAGAATTCTAGTTTTTCCTAATATTTGTATATTCCTGTTAACTAGTAAACATAGCCTGGCATTACTACAGTTTACTGCATCCAGTTTTTCTTGGATTTTTCAAGCACATAAAAAGACTATATTAGGGTTAAAATAATGATGCATTATTTTATCATCAGGTGTTGAGCCATTTCAGACCAAGCAATTTAAGCTAGTTATGCTCAAAACTCTATGAGAGAAAGCATTCTACTCTGAACCTGTATTTCAGTCCTAAAGAGCCTGCATATTGTGATTTGAATTGTCTTCAGTTGAATTTCAGTTTATTTTCCAGTGTTTTAGTACAAACAAACATGTAAGCAAGTGTATTTAGATTGCAAACTATGTAACTTTTGGTTTGTGTTTTCCTGTGTGCTTGAACTTCAAACTAATAGGTTGTACTTCCTCGAGCTAGCAATGAAACAGGCTCTGGGCAAAGTCAACCTGTAAAAATATCAGGGCCTTAGGAAAGTTGTAATGAAAAAATTTTGAGCAAGTAAAAACTGAAGATTATAATGGAATTTGGACTCGTAACTATCACCAGAATACACACTGCTGTAATGTGACACAGTAAGAAGAATGGGAAGAATGGGATAATGCAAGAAAAGGAAAGCCACTCAGCCTTAGATTATTAGTGATATTACCACATATCACAGCCTATTGGCTAGCAAGACCATCTTATAAGAAGCATGCTAGAAGTTTACATCCAACTGTTCTTTGTACATCCCTGAAAACAAAGAGGAAGTCCTCTTTTAAGGTACTTCCCTGCATTCATGGCACCAAATTATTGGGCATAAGGATTCCAAGGAACAGATTCATTATACTGTCATATACTACATTTAGCAAAACCAAGAAAACACCCAACAGTAGCAGCAGCTAAGCATTTTTAAGGACTTTGAAAATAGCATGGTTATGTGTGAATTTACAAAATGCTTACTATGGCTGATGATGGGCTCTGGGGGCCTGTTTGCATATTCTGCTTTTTTTGTCTCCAAAGCCCAGTGTAAAATTATGAGAAAAAAGTAAGCTTGAGATAGTGTCAAAGAATAACGAGAAAGCTACAACTACGACTGTATTCAAACACGTAGATGTGCACGTAGAACAATTATCAACTTTTCTCAACATAAAGAAAATTAAGTCAGGAATGTTTCTCAGTTCCATGTGCCAACTTTGCTGAGATAAGCCGTGAATCTGGGCTCGCTTATGCTATCATTATTTTTGACCTAAACAACCTGGGAACAGGGAGGAACCACCAAAGTCTGTTTCATCACCACACATCTGAAAGTCCAAAAATGCTATCCAAATTAATTTGTGTGAGGTCTCTGAGGTATATATACTCTACAGCTCTGTACCCTCATGTTAATCTTTGGACCAGACTTCATTGTGCCTGTTCCTTCTTCTCCCCTCTCTAGATATGGCTATTGTTGGTGGTGTTCTCCTTCCTTCTACACAGGGCAAGGGCTCTTGCAGATGCCCACTCACTTTCTACTTGAGACTTCAACTGGGTAAAATGTTTCAGCTACAGTAAGAAAACCCCAGAGTTTTTCATCTCAAATTTTATGAAATCTGGGAAAATCTTTACAAAACAGCACTTCCTATCCACAGCTGACCTTCTTCTGAATTCACTGACGCCATTCAAACCAGGGCAAAGGATGTCAAAATGCCAAAACTGACAAAATTAGATTATAAACAACTCAGTGAAACCATCATGTCATTCAGCTGCTAGAAGAGTTTTGTCACTGCACTTGCAAAGGGTGCGAATCAATCTTTATCACACACTTGAAGAATAGAACACATTTTTATCCAGTACTGCAGGTAAGGCATTTTGCCACCCTGTGAGAAAATTTAACTGTTTTTTTTGGGGTTGTTGTTGTTTTGGTTTTTTTTTTTTTTCTGGATTTGTAGTGATGACAAAATTAAGCAAAAGTTTAAAACACTAAAGAAAATTCCCTCCTAGAAAAAAAAATAGGTAATTTTTTAAAACATTTTGTGTTTTTATATTAAAAAGAACCCCCCCCAAAAAAAACAAAAACAAAAAAACCCCACCACAAACCCACAACTTTTTAAAAAATCATAAATTGATTTAAAAAATATATCCCTGCACTTAGAAATTACAAAAGTAGAATGTTCTAATTTTCCCCTGAGAATTGAGTAGTTTTCAGCAGAAACAGATCAGTGTATTTTTCAGCTGCTTCAAAGGAAGGACTGATTTAAGGAGGTGATCCTGCCCTTCCATTCTGCTCTTGTGAGATCCACTTGGGAGTACTGTGTGCAGTTCTGGTGTCCTCAACATAGAAAGGACATGGATCTGTCGGAACAAGTCCAGAGGAGGGCCACAAGGATGATCAGGGGGCTGGAGCACCTCCCATATAAGGATAGGCTGAGCAAGCTGGGGCTGTTCAGCCTGGAGAAGAGAAGGCTGCATGGAGATCTCGTAGCAGCCTTCCAGTATCTGAAGGGGCCTAAAAGGATGCTGGAGAGGGACTGTAGTGATAGGACAAAGGGGAATGGGTTTAAACTTAAGGGAAGTTCAGGTTAGGTGTAAGGAAGAAGCTCTTTACTGTGAGGGTGGTGAGGCAATCAATGGAACAAGTTGCACAGGTAAGAGGTAAATGCTCCATCCCTGGCAGTGTTCAAGGCTGGACAGAGCCTTGGGTGACATGGTTTAGTGTGAGGCATCCCTGCCTGTGGCAGGGGGGTTGGAACTAGATGATCTAAGGTCCTTTCCAGCCCTAACCCTTCTATGACTCTATGATTACTTGCTCAAGGCTGCGGATACCATCCTGTTGCCAAAAATTTTGATTTTCTGGCTATTTGTTCAAACCACTGGAATCCATCTCCTAATTTGCTCGTTAGTAATCTATCTGAATGAAGATAGAAATAATGAAAGTCTAGAGACAAATCTTGTTTTCACTAAGAATAGCTGGACAACTTGGGAATGTTTTATGCAGACATGTAAACAAGTAGGCAAGAGGAATCAAAGCACAATCAAGTAGGAGCACAAGGTTTTTTTCAAGGTTATGTCCAAAGCTTTTTTAAGTGATGGCCCATCTCAATTATACTGTAATTTCTTCATTACACTAGTGACGAAGGACCCGGGCTGTTCTCTTCGTCCACTATGCTCTCTTCCTAGCCTTGGAAGATGTTAAGCAGCACATTAGTGCAATCAGGAATGTCCAAAAGACATTTTTTTTTCAATATACATACTATGGAGTAGTGTGCATTCCTTGGCATGCATGTATGTTATGAGCACTATCTGAGGAAAACCTGCTCTTCATAAACCATGTCTTGGGTATCACAGTATGCAAGTTTATGTATTAGTATTTCCTGATTTTCACCAGTGTTGGCTTTTTTCCATTAGAGAGCGACTTTACCAAGTAAACACTTTTTTTGTTTTCTGTAAAGTGCATCCTTTTGCTAACCTGAGTGCCATCATAATTTATACTTTTTTTCATGTAAGAGAGAATACAAAGATCTTCAGGCTTTATTCTTTTGTAAATGTCACCAGTTCCACATACACTACTGTGTCTTGAAACTGGTTTTCCTCTGACCTTATCAAGAACAGCAATTTTCCTGTCTACTCTAACAACACCTGGGATCTTGCCAAAAGAAATCAGAATCTAACGTAAAGCTCTGAGAGTAGCAGCTGAGTGTGAAAACAGAAGCGTGCCCATCAGCCTTTGGAGGGCTTGTGTCAAAAGAGAGCTGCTCCAGTGTGACTGCAGTACCCAACTGAGTGAGCACCTGAGAAGGGCACACCACAGTTGAAAGGCTTTCTTTTGTGAATGCACTGGTTTAGCTTAACAAAGGCTAATAGGCAAAGGGCAAACAAAACAGCACTGTAGTGTCTTTCTGGAGAAGAAAGTCTTGGTGCCCACTGGAATTTCAAAGAATGACGCTGGCTTCAAAGATCTTGTACCCTGTCATATTGAAATATAATGCAAACTGTATGGAGTGCCTTGGTCTGATCTCAGCAACAGCAGCAGTGCTTGCCAGCAGTTCTCTAAGAACACAGGTTGGCAGAGATACAAACAGAACGTGGAGGAGGCTCAAGGAATCTGGCTTCCCTAAACTCAGGGAATGGCAGTATTAGGGAAAAGTAGGCACAGTTTCTACTCTGTCTTCTACTGCATTTAAGATACAGTTTATTTGAAATGCAGCTGCACTGTGTTAATGATATCTTGTTTCAGCACGGCACTTTGGTTGCTAACTGCCACAGCCATTGCTGCAGAGAGAAGAGAACAGTCAGTTTTGGTCACAGTCAAAATGAGCTTGATACCCAGGGACTGGAGCCAGAGCCCAGACTGAAAACAGAAGATCTGCATGAATGCACCCTGAGAGAACTGCTGGAGGCCAAAGGGGTTTACTCTAAAGGAGTGAGAAGTACATTCTGCTGGGTGATACTTGCAAACATCAAAAGATTTTCATGGATTCTTGACATTTACTGTGGTACTAATGTATTTATGAGGACAGCACAATTTTTTGGAGTTTAAACAACTAGGAGCATATCTTCCAGGTCTTAACTGGCTGAGAACAAAGGTAGTTGTTGTCCATTTGGTGACTCCTGAGGACAGTCATAAATGAGCCAACATGAAAACAAATTGTTTCTCAGTGGGATGTTACTAAACCTAGGTGGGGTTACCTGCAAAGTCTCATGTCTTGTCAGTCATACAGGTAAGAGATTTAATGATACTGACTTTTAATTCCTAATTCAGCAATGATCTCAAGAAAGGAACTATTTTACTGTACTGTTCACAGATTCTGGTATTTAGAGGATTACCTGGTTTTGCAAGACCATATGGCTACCCCAGAGAACAACCCACAGAGGCCTTGTTGCTGAACAGAGCAAGCTGCATGTAAATCCTCCAAACAGCACTTGGCTCTGCTGAGCATTGACTTGCTCTGAAATTTATAGTAGTGGAACACACTCCAGCACCTGTATGTGTTTAGCAGAAGAAGAATTCTGCTGCTTAGTGTGATCGGCTCTAAAGAAGAAAAGGGTAGGTGCCCATTCATGTTCGTGATGAACTTTGGGTCATCTTCTGATAATGACTTGGTATAGAAAGAGAAGTGCGGAAAAAGAAAGATTAAAGCGATGCTCAGCTTATTCCACAGAGTCTGAATAAAAATGATCAGTGGTGAAATCTCTCATGCCATTCTCATTCTTGAGAAGTGGCAGAAAGCACCCCACCCTGGGATTTTTTGAGAAACAATATGGAGTAAGATCACTCAAAGAGCAGCATGTAAGGGAACCATGCCAACTATAAAATTGAAATATTGCACTCGTTTAAATGGAGCCTCCCAGGCTCATCTCTAGTTTGTAGATTTCATAGCATCTTGTCTGGATCTAAAGGTTCACGCTCCTGCTGCAGGAGGCCCTACAAAGTCAGACTCTCCACCACTAAAGTAAAAATATAACTGACCAAACCATTCTTCCTTCTGCAACCAAAATCCACCTTCTTTCTCAAGGTCTACAGCTACATGAACCTTGATAGCTTTCTGGGGGGGAAATTCTCCAAAGTCACAAGGTGGTGCAAGGCCACTTGCAAAGGTCTTCTTAACCTACACACTGCAAAGCAGGACATGTAGAAGGCAGACTTATTTCAACTATCAAAGACAATGCATTAAAAAAACCCAACGGTTGTACAGTGCCTCCCCCATTATTTCTCAAATCCACTATCTCACTTCTTTTTAGATAAGGGCACCTGCACTCATTTCTCATAAACTCTTTCTTTTTTTTCTTTGAACAGAGGCCATCTATATTTATACCAGAATGTAGAATAATAAATTGCCCAGTCTGCTGCTAACCATGGAGAAAATCAGGAAGGGAAGCTGAAATTTCAGATTCTGAGACAGAAACTTACTTAAGTGTAAGAATTGCATGTAAAATTTCTGGTAAGTTTATGCTTTTGTTTAACTGTTCCTTTTAGGGGAATATAATGTCAAGGGCTTTCAAGACTAAAGATCTTTTAAAATACACAAAGGCTTTAAGGTGTCTGAAAAGTTAACTAAAATGCTTTCTTTAAAAGCAATTAATTTGCACCATGATAATTTCTTCTCACTCAGTCCAAGTTTTTTTTCCCTGTGCCAGACATGCATAACTTTCCTTGGCAAATGTTCTAGCTCTGTCTCATTTGGTATTTTATCAGAATGGATTGTAAACATTTTGACCTGACCCTTTTATTTTATTTAAATTGTGTAGCATACACTGTCATAGAATAGGGTTGGAAAAGACCTTATTATCTAGTTCCAACCCCCCTGCCATGGGCAGGGACACCTCACACTAAACCATGTCACCCAAACACTAAACCATGTCACCCATGTGACATGTCACCCATGTATGATTTTGTACACATGAATCGATATTTTATGGCATATAAAAATCCTGTTCTGACAAAACAGTAAAGGGCACTGGGAGGAAGGTTTTTAGTTCTGACATAGTCCTCTGCAGACTCACAGCTTCTCTGGACAACTTATTCCAGTGCCTCACCACTCTCATACAGAAGAATTTCTTCTGCATGCCTCATCTGAACCTATCCTCTTTCAGTTTAAAACCACTCCATGTTACATAATGAATTGCATTTCACCAATAATAAGTAGTAAACACACAGATGTCTTCCGTTAAATGTCCAATTTAACATATTTTTATCTGCATTTTCATGCCCTCTCCCCCTTTCAATTTGCTCTACTATTTTATTCCATGAGTCTACTTTCATGCCCTCCAAAAATGCTGTTGCTCTTCCTGGACATAGCAGTGTAGGTCAGGCAGCCTGAAAGCTATCAAATATTTCCTGCCTGATTAGAATTTTGTTGTTGTTGGAAAATTATTCACTCTCTCCATTCCCTCTTTCACTTTCTTTTTGTCCTTCTCTCTGTCTGCTATTTCTTTTTCTCTCAGACTTCAAGCTGAGACTACACTCTCTAACATTATGTAGTTCATCGGGGGTCATTAGCAAACAGCGTCAGAGAAGCTAGACAGCATATCTGCTCTTTTCATGCTGCTGTATTTCTGGTTTTGATGGGACAGAATCTATTAAGATCTGTTCCTGTACCCTTCTTCTTTTCATATAAGCTCTTTGTTCCTTATGATCTGTGGGGGAAAAAAAGGACATACGTACTGTCTCCCGCTTTCACAGCTGAAAAGCAGCAGAGCCACAATTTCAAAGGTAAAGAACATGGTATTGTTTACTGATATTGGCATATGTCTTTACATCACTATGATGCACACACCCATGCTAGATTCAAATATGCGATCAGATACAAGTAAACTATAAGCTGCATATATAATAAAACAGATGCAAAAATGCAGATGCAATTGTAATGCATAAAGCTCTGAAAATCTGCCCCACTGTGCTTTTCTGTAGTTTACTTTCCAAAGTCACCATGTTCTTATTACAAACTTGTTCTAGACCCTGCCAAATTACAGAGACTTCAAGCCTGCCAACTCCTCCAGCTAGCCCTCTGGAATACAAAGGCATTTAAATCTTTTAGATTCTACCCAGAATGAGATTTGGAACCATTAAAATCAACAGCTACCTGCACATATTATTCACAGAGAACTGTATTCCACTGAGGGGTTTTCACATTCAGAATGAGTTTCAGGGAAAGTCTTTATAGGGTCAGGAAGCAGAAAAATAAAAAGTTAAAATACTGGTTTAAGAGATTATTAACAAGTGAAGAGTATTGTTCAGAGATACCTATATTCTGTGGAGGAAACAACCAAAACCCAAAAGATCAAGAGGAGGAAGAGGCAGAAGAAAATTACTCTTACAGATTCTGCAGAAAGAGGTCATTTGTGAAAACAAGAGAAACTTATGAAAACAGGGAGGAAAAAAAAAAAGAAAAGAAATCCGTTTACTCAGAAGCGTTAGCAGAATCTGCATATCCATTCCTGATTCAGAGAGTTTGGAATTTTGTTTTTCTCCATCTGTTTGTCTTATCATTTTGTCATGTTTTATCATCACACACAGCCACTTAGCTCTCAGACACTCTCAACGAACAGCCTGCTGGCATCTTTCAGCTGCTCTCAGGCCTTCCCGTTTACATCTCCCAGCTGCCTCTCTTACCCCACATAACATGACTGGATACCCATCTTGATTACTTTTTAAAAATCATTTCCAGATGCCACATTTGGTGCTCTAGATACCTTCCATTCTATCCCCCAGAATATGGTATTTTGGGGTGTTTCTGTGGGCTGATGGAATGAAACCAGACTTCCAACGCCTTTTTCTGCCCTAATAGGAATCTCATCCAAGTCCTTTCAAGATTTTCATGCACCAAACTAAACATTTCTTTGGCTGTTGTCAAATGCTGGGAAGCTGAGACGAGGAGGAGAGCATGGTACTAAATCACCAAGGTGGTAAAAACACAATGATCAGATAATCAAATCTCACCTCTCACTGTTTCACAGATGTCATGTATTTTGTTCTCTATTCTCTTAAGCATTGCCCAGTCTCTCATGATGTGTGCAAATCCCCTAAAGTTTAGGAGAAATTTCAGCTAATTTCAGCTTGCAATTTGAAATCACTAGCCTAACACCATCCCTAATCTTTACACAGACTGCAGTCCCTGGAACTGACATGGAAAAGGCTCTATGCTTAAGAAACATACTTTGATTTTCATAGGCAAGAGCTTTATACACAGATTCCTCTTAACTGTGTAAATGACAGTTTAAACACACACCTCGTGGTTATTCTCATGCATTCTTTAGCACCTTAAGAATAGGGTAGTACTTTCATGTTATGTTGGCTTTGCAAAATTTTGCCCTGAACCTGTATGGTTGTAGGAAAATCTAATTGCTATCTAATTAAATGTACTCAATATTAAATTTCAAAGCCATTTGCTTTTCTTTTTTCCATGTTTTGGCAAGAGTGAAATGAAATCTGGCTACGTAAGGTACTTCAAAGTTACAGAATCCTAACTGGCTTTTCTACAAGCTCCCTTTTAACAGTGTCACTTGAATAAACATTATTGAAGGTTCAGAAAATAAATTAAAACAACCCCAAACAACAAAACCCCCAAAGATGTTGTGTGCATATCATCAAGTTTCTACCTGATTCACCCAGAGCTTTTTATTCAAAACCTCTTCTTATCCAGACAGAAGCTTAGATTTACCCATTGGAGAGGCTGGGTGGAGAACCTGCTCTGCAACAGCTGCTCGCTGTCCACAGATGAGCCAGAACAAAATGTGTTGGCATAGAGCACTTGCTTCAAAATAGGTCATGAACTCAGAAAATCCATTTATAAACATTGCACCAGTCTGCAGAACGGGGCACATATCCTGAGAAAGGAACCTCCTCTACCACCGTGGAGGAAAGCTCATCTTCCCTTCTCCTCTCTGAAACTCCTGGCACGTGGAGAAGAAAAAGGATTTCTGGATCTCCTGCTCATTCTAAAATTGTTAGAAGGGAGAAGGAACTGTATCCTGAGGCTCTGAAAAACATCAAGAGGAGCTTGCAGTTTAAGAACCAATTTGGTCACTACAGTGGTCAGGAGAGAAGTGAGCACAGAATTGGCAGGATGAAGTGGAGGAGAGTCTGGAAGAGAGGTTTTAAACAGACTCACAGTCATTTTGTACTGACTGAAAATGGTTTCCTTCTCAAAGAGTCTAGGGCCCTTCTCCATTGCACAGTGAAATCACTGAAAGCTCTCCAGACACTTTCAGAGAACTTTGGGTTAGGTCTTGTGGTCATGTCTTCAGAGTAGATGGTTTTAATAAAGTGCATTAACAGATGTTTTCAAACGCTCCTAAAGTCAGTTCAGCTGTGGGATCTTTGCAAGACATGGGATTGTTACCAGACTTGAGAATAAAAACCACAGGTCCCTCCCCAGTTTAGTTTCTGGTGCTTGCAAAAAACTTCTGTGATTAAAAGAGAAAGAATTTGCAAGTCATCTTACGAAATAAGGGAGAATCTAATTCCACAATTAACTAGGCCATCATCTAGCAAGTTCTCCACTCCTGCCAAGTGCTATCAATACTCTAAAAAGAGCCCTATTAATAAGAGATGTTGTTATTTGGAATACACTGGGGTTGCCTAGTTCCAAAGAAACCAAATATGCTGACCATGACACAGCACTCTGAACTTTCCACATGAGATCACTAGATATCTTTGAGAGTGAGAAATGAGAATGGGATTACATATTCAGTATACAAAATACGGAATCACTTTCTATATCTAGGGTTGCCTCAAGTTAAATGGCAAGAATGGGTTGAAGTACTTTCCCTCTTAAAAAAAGGGAACAAAAAAGACAGCAGGATATATGTCCTCCCTTTCCTGCATTATCTGATAATGCCAAACACTTGTAATGCTCTATTTTGTGTTTACCAGCACTGAATACTGTAGTCTGATGCAAAGCAGAACTTGTTTCTAATAAAGAAAATTGAAAGTAATTTCCACAGGCCTAAATTCAGACAAATTAATCTCCCTAGTCTTGTTCTGTGGTTAAGAGACACACAGACCCTCTGAATTACTGTCAGAACAAGTCTCTTTCTGCTACTTGTAAAATGGTGCAAGTGGGATTAGCTTACTTAAGCTAAAGCTTGCTTCTGTAGATTCGTCACCCAGTTTCATTGTATTCTGCGTAAAAGTTTTCCTTCTGATGTTTTGGTTTTCAAATAGAAACATAAGACAGGGATTGCCTAGCTTTACCTCTGATTAAAACTGAACTAAATTGTGAGGATAGTTCATAGCGACAAACATACAAGCAATATAGAAACACATAGGAAATTATAAATGTATTGTATCAACAGCAATGATACTGTGCTGCTAGCTCACAGAACAATTGCTATAAGCTTGACAGATACAGCCTTAATTATGTTATCAAATATTGGCAGTAAGGAAGAATAGTGAACATAGCCTGTGTTCAGATAGACCATTTGAAACCGCTGGAGGAAAATGTTAACAATATACTTCAAATCGTTTCCATTTCAGGAAAACCAAGATGATTTTGTGAAAATTTGTATCTGAAATTAACAAAATGTCTGTTGTAAAAAGTGTCACTTCCAGTGATGAGTTTATTAAAGAAGAAAAAATTGTCTACAAAGAAACAAAAAATGGGAGGAACATATTCCACTACATCCTTCATTGTTTGAAACAAAATTTTCTCTGAAGAAAAAAATGATTATACCAAAACTATAGCCAATTTAATTGTTCTTTTATAAGGGCAGATGTTAACGCATAAGGACCTCTAAGTGCTTGGAGAGGAGGACTGTATTTTTGTTTTGGTGGATTTTCAAATCTTCCAGTAAATCTAGTGTCAGTATCTAGCTAACAGAGCTGACACAGCGTGGATGCTGTACAACGTTTATGTTACATGTGATACACATTTCCATGTAGCTTTTGCAAATGAACATTTGTAACTCTCTAAAAGCCACAGACTGTAAGTCAGGAACAGATGTCACAGACTCGAATCCCTATCATTGAACACTAAGGTACGAAAGAATGGGAAGAATTAACCAACTACAGTAAACAATTTCACATAATTGCATATTGAATTTTATCTCACATATGCTATGGAATACCAAATGCGTATGTAACACATTCACTTTATGCATACAACACGAGGGTTTTGCATATTGGTTATCTTGTTTTAACCAACAAATTCTTTCAGTGTTGAGACAAAGTTGCCTGTTTTCACTTACAGATGCATAGATGAACACAGTTGTCTAGAAGTCTTTTCTCTCCTCAACATTTGTACTGTGTTTTGTTGCATAGTGTTGAGGAGAAAGTTCTGTTTGATCACTTCTGCTCACTGTGGTGTGAATATATGTGCATGCATCTGTGTGTGGATTGAGAGCCAGACAATGTGTGGCATGTAAAAGATGTGCTCCATAGGTAACTAACACGGGTGGGGTAGCTTTCACTGAGTTTGTCTATTGACGTTCTGTTGTCGTTATTCTGTGAAAAAAACCCCAAACAACTGCTAGAAAAATACAGACATTTTTTCCCAAGGCTGGGTTGGATTGGGCTTTGAGCAACCTGGTGAATGGAAGGTGTCCTTGCCTGTGGCGGGGGTTTGGAACTAGATGATCTTTAGGGTCCTTTCCAACCCAAACCATTATATGATTCGATTAAAAGAGAAGAGCAGACTATACATGAACTTTCAAATACTTGATCTGGAATTATTGCGGTTTTAATGGCCATTTTTACCTGGCCAAGACACTGGATCAATACAGAATGTCCATTAAACAACTCCTCTTCAGACAAAAGGCTTTTTATGAATGAGTAGTCATAGTAGATCCACAATCTTTGAAAGACAGGTTACTGAAGAACTTGTGAAATAGTGTAAAAAGTTGTGGCATGTAAGCAAAATGATTGCTAGAAAGTTTCAGTTCTTCATAAAGCTGCACCAGAATTTGGCAGCTCATCAAGGACCATGCTATACAATTCAGCATTGCCTCAGTAACTGGAACACAGCAATTGTGAGCATTATGGCATGCATGCATCACCACTAATATCCCTCTTTTTTGGACAGCACCACAAGTGTATTGTCAGTAGATACAACCCGTGGAGACAACAAAATGTTTGCTGCTACAACACATCTGTGGAGGTAGTAATGGCCAATCCCATCTCTTCCTGCACACCACCAGCCAAAACAGCCAATGGTGCTGCCAAACTCAAAATACCTATGTCCTTCTGATAATACCAAAGGACAGGAGTCCCACAAATTCAGATCTGTCACCCTTCTGAAACAGGTGGAACTTGATAGGAAAAGTATCATAAAATAACTGAAGTGCCAGTTGCATCACAAAACTTGATTTGAGTCAACTGAGCCAACTGAATTGTACAACAACTAAACAGCCAACTGACATATATTCCCTTACTTTTTTATCATGGAGAAGAGCAATCTCTTTATTCACTACATAGAAAGCTACTGCTGTGCAGGTTTGATGACACGCAGAGCACACAAAAAATTCTAGGTGAATGTATCTGTGCTAAGCTGCAATGCTGCCGAACTGTCCAAACACAGAATCCACAGCAGCAACAGTTATCACTGGGACTCACAAATGCAAGTTATTCTTACAAAGCCCAGTGCAAAGTTCAGGCACTGAGCTTTTGATCCACAGCATTTGGTCTGTGACTCACACAGGAATCTGACATATTCATACATTACTCAGCTGTAAGTACCTTGACTGAGCCCACTCAGGTTAACAAAAAGTTGAAAGTAACACCTTTGACTCACATCAGTCCATGATTCACCGATCCCTGCCAGTGCAACCTCAAAGCTCCCACTTACCAATGCCACATCTGTGTCCAGTGTCTGAATTTTAGGCCTATTAGGGAGTCTGGCACAACAATGACCTGACAATAATCAGTATAGAAGCCACTGTCGATTGGTACATATTTTTGCTACAGAAGTCACATAAATAAAGTATTAAATCAGCAGCAGCACACACAGTCCTAGTTTCAGATTATATTTCAGTGAAATAACTGCATGAATGCTGGGTGGGATGTGCTGCGGCTATAAATCAGCAGATCTCTGCAGCTTTCTGTACAGGTCTGGAGGCCTAGAAGAACCAAAAATTTGAACTGAAACATGTACTAGATAAAAATAAGTGTTGCAGGTAAGAGTCTACTTCTAAAATATTAACAGAAATATTCACAAGTATCCAAAGATTTATTAGCTGACTAATGCTACCCAAAGACATAGTTCTTACCCTAAACAGGTACCCTAATCTAAGATGCAAAGGGACAGAAATCAAGGAAAATAGGGGAAAATAGGATACTGGAGAGATTTAATACAATAAAATCTTCAGCTTTTCCCGTCTTCTCAGTATTAACACCCATTTCTCACAAAAAGAAGTTTGAAGAAAGAGGATGGGAAGAGTACAGGTTTGTTCTGACCCAAATTTAATCCTTAGTTAAAACAGAAAAGCCCCAAGCCATTGTCAAAGCAAAACTTCCACCCCAAACCACCTGCAACTGTCAAAACATTTCTATGACTGTGTTTAAAATAACTGGTAATGGCCTATCCAGATTTTGTATCTGCAAAATATTCCCCTAAAATAAAGGAAATAAACCCCTGTGCTTAAAAGCTTAGAAAGAAATAATGAGGTAGCAATAACGAGGTGGCAGTAATGAGGCTATTTTTTGAACCCAAGTTAATTCAAACCGTTGGAAGATCATTCCCTAATGTAGCAAATGCATCCCACTCCCCCTCAGCTCTGAGAGAACAAAAGAAAAAGCATGAAAATGGGAGAGTGAGTTTGTATAGAATCAAATCCTACGAATTAATCTAGGAAACCTGTATTTAAACCATTAAAATTTGGAGATAAAGTAGAGGGAGCCACAGGATGAATCTGAAGCACTTCTAATGCTAAGTTTACTTCCATTGTACTGAAATCACTCTCACTTAGTATGAAACTCCATTCAACACACAAATTGTGCCTGACACAACAAAAAGCCGTAGCTTGGCCAAATTTCCTAACAGATCTGCGGATAAGACCACAAAGCTTTAGTCTACAGGGAAAAGCAGTTGACTTGGCAAGTCTGTCTGTGGCATGCTGACCTTTTTTCAGAAAAGGTCACCACGGAGCCATGTTCCTGAACTTCCCAGGGATTCTGCAGCTCTAAAGCCAGGGATCTTTTAGACTGTAGCATCATGATAGCCTAAAGCAACATGAATTAATAAGACACTTTTTCTTTTAGTTTGCATAAAACCTTTTCTAGTCTAGGAGCAATCAGAAGTGATATCACTCCAGTTCTTGGTGAGTGGCAACAGTGACCGCTGCTGAAAACCTCAGCAAGAATACATAAAACCAGCTGCATGGAGGTGAAAGGCTGAAGATTTCTGGGTTTATGTGAGGAGGTCTGATTGTCTAGTGTCTGCCCTGAACACAGTTATAAGAGTTTAGCTTACAGTGCTATCAAGCTGGCTCTTTTTATTACACTCAATGCACTTGGAAAGAAAAAAACCCAACAAAACAACATGAGTGTTTTTTCCCAATGATTTTTAGTGAAAGAAAAGCACACTATTACACCTCAGACTGCGGGAATCATGTTCTAAGCCATGGCATATTATAATAAATTGCTTTGCTAAACAAGCAAATGGAAACCCTTGAGTTCCACAGCATTTTAAGCAAGAGAATGCCAGACTGAAACAGGTTTAACACTGATACTAGGTTAAATCTTAAATTAGGTGTGCAATGCCTGTTGGTTTTTCAGGGTGTGGCTTACATGTGAAACGGCCAAACCAGTTTTCAAAGAGGTAAAAAAAAACATAATTAGAATGATTATTTTAAAGAATCACAGAGTAACTCAGATACAGAACTGTAGATGCTATAAATCATATTATTATTAATAATTCCAAAGGAATGATAGCTGCTTATACTATCAAATTTTCTGATAATTCTTTTGGATGAAATGATTTTTTTTAAATTTTAGAAGTGCA